ATATTGGCTCAATCATGGATTCACACCATGATTTTTTCTGGCATGTGGGATGTTGGATCTGAACTTTGGATTTCCAGCTCTACCCCAAGGATGAGGAAGCTTATAGATCCAAGGGCTAAATTGTATTTCAGTCAATTTTTAGTAGGCAACTTTTGAGTAGTGGCAGGGGTCAAAGTAAAAGGATGGGCCAAAAATACATATTTTAACGTAAAGCCCTTCTGCCAGTAATGGAAACTTAGGGGGACTGCAGACGGGCAGCTCTGGGCTGCCCCGGGAAGTGGCGGATCAGGGCTGCGGCATCCCCACACCGTGGCCCCAATCCTCCCTTTTGCTGCCCCGAAAAGAGTGGCAAAATGCTGCTCCTTTCAGGGGCAGCAAAAGGCCTCCCTAAGATCCGGCACGTGGCTCTTCCTCACCCTTTTTCATGCAGAGTGTTAGAATGCTGCATCGGGAGGACGTCAGGATGGCATCGGCATGGGGTTGGGATGGCTGGTGTGCAGCTGCCCCACCCCAACTCTACATCCAGGCCAGCCCTTTGGGCCAGTCTGCAGAGGCCCTTAGAAGGGGCATTTCAACCTTTTAAGAATGAGGGAGGACCAGGGAAATCACCAAACAATTGTACCATATCCAGGCCATTTGGAAAAACCAAATAAACTTCTCCACCATTTTCTGTTTCCCACACCACATTCTAATACCGTACTTATCCATATGATTATCTACTCTCCCTTCTCTAGGCAACAGTTGTCTTGCTGCCTTTGTCCCCCAATGACCATCCTTAAAAACATACTTACCTACTTACTCATCTCCAGAACACACAAGGTTTTGAATTTGAATTGAACTTCTCACAAACAAACTTCTATCTCTGGATTCTCCACTCCAAAACATGTATCTCAAGATGTAGGCTGAAGTCTATGAAAGCTCATGCTACCAACTTTTTTTCTCAAAGGTGCTACAAGATCCTTTTGCATAATGATTATTTACCACTGTTCAACTTCATTTCCCACTTTTTTTTTTGCTGCCTCATTAACATTTTAACAGCAATTTACTTATCAAGAGGCTGTTTGAAAATGCTAGCTTGACCATTGCAATCCCAATTTTGTAGGTTCCAAATGTTTTATTACAGCAGAATCCTTCTGTGAACTATTTACAAAGAACATCTCATATCTCCCAACTGTCTGGATTAATCTTCTGTTGTCTCATTTTCTCAGCTGCTTTTAATATATCCCAGTTTCTCCCTCCACCTCCTCCCACTGTCCTCTGCATACCTCAATTATTGCAAAGTTCAAAGTACCAAAGTAGTTTGCACAATCTAACCCTTTCCTGTAGGCTGGGGCAAAAACAAACTGCTGGAGCCTTCCTTATTAATAGCTTGTGCCATTTTGACCACACGCTGCTGTTTCATGGCAATATTTATCCTAGTTTTCATCTGTGAAATATTGAAGTCTATGCAACCTTAGTCCTAGCTATGACTATAAGAAAGAAAACAAATGAAAAGGCTGTTGAATGAGTCTGTGCATTGCAAAATCCACTTTATACTTGAACTACCTTGCCTCAAAGAAGGGAAATTGTGCAATTCTCTGATGCTTGTCGTCATTGTGCAGCTTATGAAAATTACCTCTTAAATTCCAAAACATATTTCTCCTCCAACAATGGTCTTTAGTGTATGAACATGGCCAGCCTTCTTATGTAATAATTTGGTTGTCAGCAAATCCAGTGTATTACCTTTATAGTTTACATAGAGAATGTGCATTTAACAAATTTAACAAATGTAAAAAAAGAAACCACAAAAGTGTGTTTTTTAAAAAAACAAAAACCACCTCATCACATAATTTTCAGCTTAACAGGATACAGAAGATGCTTACACTCAGTGAAGTAATTTTCCAGTTGTCTCCATTTTTATAATAGTTAAATTAATTTAAGAAAAACTTGTGGAAAAAGACACCACTGTATTCAACTGGAAACCTGGAAAAAATATAAGTTTTGTTCTTCATTTGTATTAATGATTGGGGGAGCAAGTTGGCTTTGCATGAGAGTGAACCATAGAAAACCTGTTTTTTCAATCCCATGTTTGCCTAGATAGTGTGAAATGGTGTGTGTGTGTGTGTGTGTGAGACAAATCATGATTACTGTGAGGAAGGGTACAACTCATATTTATTTTCTCTACAAGTGTGCCCAGCCTCTAATCCTTTCATATATTTATATCCTGCTTTTGCTCCCAAGAGCTCAAGTGGGACATGTGGCTCTCTACCCGTCCACAACAGCCCTGTAAAGTAGATCAGCTTGCAAGAGAGGGCTCAAGATCATCCAGTGAGGTTTAGTAAGGAATTCAGTCTGGATCTCCCTAACCTCCATCTATTTATTTTTTCAGAGGGGTGCCAGAACAAACTAGAAACTCCTCAAGATGGGGTGGAAGAGACCTTTGCAGCAGATAAACAAGGGGCAGGGTACATCTCTCCTGCACAAAGGAGACTAGATACAAAAGATACAACTCCAGCAAGGTGTAGTGGTTGAACTATAACTATGGAGACCAGGATTTGAATCACAGCTCAGACATATAAACCCACTGGATTACCCTGGACAAGTCACACTCTCCGCCTCAGAGGATGGATGGCAATGGCAAGCCCTATCTGAACATATCTTGCCAAGAAAACCCCATGATAGGTTTGCTTTAGGGTCACCATGAGTCAGAAATGACTTGAAGACACACAACAACAACCTGCACTTTTAATAATTCCCCAGAAGAGAGCACATTAACAGAAATAGTTTGCAGCTCCTTCACACAATTATTATCAGGGAAAGAGCTCTGTCCTCTTTTGCAGCTTGTCATCCTGCTCCACACATTTGCTTTACAAGGGAAAAAGAGCTTAGAAACTTTCTGGCTGCCTACAGGACTATAGTCACTTGCTTGGATGTAAGAACCAGTATGCTTAGGGTGGCTCACTTTGGAATAAACGTGCAGAGGCTTGTGCTGCATGTTTCCCTACATTATATGGAGTTCAATTGCAAAACAAGCACTAATTGGTATTTACATTGGGTTCAGTACTGTATAGAAGTGTCCAAATAGGCTATTTGGATCCTCTAGATGTTTTGGATTTCACCTCACAGGAGTCTCCGACAGTATGGCTGTGGCTCTGGAATTCTGGAAATTGAAGTCCTCAATATCTGGAAATTCAAAGTTTGAGAAACACTGGTTTAATTGATCCCTATAATTCATAGCAAAGGGATGCAGTCTCTCAAGTGGTTAAGATACTGACTCTGTTGATTGCAAGATGAGCAGGTTGGTAGTTTGAGGCCTTGGTGCTGCATGATGGGGTGAGCTTCTGTCATTAGTCCCAGCTTCAGCACCAACCTAGCAGTTCAAAAGTGTGCAAATGAAAGTAGCCTTCTCTAAAATGGAGGACATTTTGGTACCACTTCAGTGGGAAGGTAAACAGCATCCTGTGCAATCATGCTGGCCACATGATCACAGACTAGTCTCTGACAATGCTGTCTCTTCGGCTTAGTAATGGGGATGGGCACCGCCCCCTGCGGTCGAATACAACTTGACCACCTTATCAATGGGGAATACCTTTACCTTTTA